CTGGCTGGTATGGGGATCCAAATCCTTCACTTTAGTGTTATATAACACCATGCTCTAACCAACCAAGCTAACCGGCCAGCCCCCCATTAACTTTTAAGTACCCTTGTATGTATATATATACATATATATATGCTGGCTGGTATGGGGATCCAAATCCTTCACTTTAGTGTTATATAACACCATGCTCTAACCAGCCAAGCTAACCGGCCAGCCCCCCATTAACTTTTAAGTACCCTTGTATGTATATATATACATATACATATACACACACACACACACACGTATATATATACATATATATAGTAGAATATCCTTCCAAATGGGTATTATATTATTCTTCTACGTTCTTTTTAATAAGTACATAGTCTTCCGATATATGTATATACATAATGTATTTAACCAGGCTCGAATGGATGAACATTTAGGCCATTTCTAGGTTTTTGTTATTACAAATAACATTACAACAAACGTTCTCCTATACCCCTACACCCTTCCTGCATTTATTTACATATATTTGGATTCATAGATTCACAGAAGTAAAATTGCTGGAACAAAGAATGCATTTTAAAAATTTCATAGATATTGCCAGACCAAACCAATTGGTATCATTTACAATCCAACTATCAATAGATGAAAGTTGTTATTTCCCCATATCCTCACCAACAATTGGGATTATCCAATTTTTAAATCATTGGTAATCTGTTATGTGAAAAATGTATACCATTGTTGCTTTCATTTCTATTTCTTTAATTATGAATTAGATTGAGCATCTTTTTCATGCATTTATTAGCCATTCTATTTATTTTTCAGTAAGCTGACTGCTCATGTCTTTTGCCCATTCTTCTAATGGTTTATTCATCTTTTTCTGTTTGATTTGTATGAACTTTTTACAACAGAAGGAAATTAGCCCTGTGTATGTATATTGTAAATATTTTTCCTAGTTTATCACTTGAATTTTGACTTTATGATAATTTTTACAATGCAGAAAATTCTAGTTTTTATATAATCAAATGTATCAATCTGGAATACAACCACAGAGTGGCTTCAGTAGGATGTTCAGTGAGATGTAGGATCTGGCACTCCAAGCTTAGTCCTCATTAAGGACTGTACTGGTGAGAGTTGTAGACACACCTTGTTATTCTTTCTACTGGTTCAAACATACACACCCTGGGCTTGCCAGTTAGCTCAGCTGGTTAGGGTGTGGTGCTCATAACACCAAGGTCCAGGGTGCCATCCCTACACCAGCCAGGTGCCAAAACACACACATACACCCCTAGAGACATATGTGTATTCTCAGAAAAGGTATGCTCTAAATCCTTACACAGAAAGAAAACATTTTCCTAACTTAAATATACTCTGCACAACTGCCCTAAAGCACACCTGAGATAGCATATCATACATAGTGAAGTCATTTCCCCTCTGTTCTTCTCTATACTTTCAAATCATGCTCAGATGGCGCAATGGTGGGCCACTGTTACATAAGAAAGGAGTCCAAGACAGAGCTTCCTACTCCAAAATAGCTACACCTATTAGCCTCAGAGAAGCTTCAAGATCAATGCTTTTCTTATGTTTTGAGTCAAATAAAATACATGGGTATGTTGTTTCTCTATAATCTCTGTATGCAGAATGGAAGCAAGATGAAGATCTGTTATTCTCCTGTCTAAATAATGCCACATAAAGAGATGGAGTGGTTCTTCCACTTATGTATGAAACCAAGACATATAAATGCTGGAAAAAGAAACCAAATCCAGATACAGTGCTTTCACAGAATGTGTCTAATCGGATTGAACATATTGCTTAGATTTTATTTCTTTTAAGAGTCTCATGGCTCTGTGGACCTCACTTTCCACTGCAGCCTACTGGTTTGGACAAAAGCAGAGGTTACACCAGACTTGTAATAGTCAGAACCTATCCCTGAAACATCCTGATCAAGCTCTTTCTCCTTGATGTCCTCCCATCCCCCATCTCTAATTACCTCCACTTTAACGGGAACTTTGGTAGGCAAAGACTATTATCAAAGAACATCTGTCACACATGATTAAGTAGTAACTTAAAGGATACCAGTCGACAAGAAAGAATGAAAAACCTTATGATAATGCAAAATCAAGTAGGTAAATGATTATAGAAATGCAGAGCCAAGTTTCTGGTCAAGATGGAGGAATAGAAGGTCCCCAGTGTCACTTTCTCCCACAAATCAACCAATTTACAACTAATAAAAAGGAACGACAGCCAAGCTGGGGCCGCTAGAGCTCAGAGGAAGAGGAAGAAGAGACCTACAGAGTTCATGAAAGCAGGACAAGCCATGATGAGAGAAAGAAAGGATCACTCAGACCATTTTGAGTCCTGGCCGCATCCAGGCTGGAGCTGGTGAGCGCATGGAGCAGGAGCTGGCAAAAGCCATTGCTGTGCCCTTCCTATGAAGTTGCTTGCAGGTAGCAGGGGAGAAGAGGACCTTAATGGCCCCCGGGCCAGCAAGACCACTAACAGGGTTCCCATGGGCCCACATAGAAGCAAGGAGCCACAACAACTGAAAAAGGGAGCCACTCAGAGGTCGGTGAGTCATTGCAAGAGACTGCCACAAAGCCTGTCCCATGGAAAGTGTTTGAAGTGCAGATGGTGGGGGAAAAACTGTGGCACAGCATGGACCTGGACCGCTGATCTGCCCTCCAATCAGCACAGGACCACTCAGTGGAGACTGGTCAGGAATACAGAACTGCAGGGGTGCAGTTTGCTGAAAAGGCTCAGGCCCAGACCAGAGTTTCCACACAATCCAGGTGTACCAGACCTCACAAGACCTGTAAGTACATACAAGGTCAATCATTAAAACCTGAGCTGCACAAAAAGCATTCCCTAGGGAATCAGTAGCAAAGCAACAATTTAGCTCAACTACAGGGCTCAAGTGCTGGTCCCCCCAGGAGGTTCCTCCATTTTAGAAGTAAGCAAAGGACAATACATTAGTTCCAGTGCAGCGTTTAAGTGGTAGGAACAGCAAATGATACAACACAGAACTGAAAGAAAAAACAAAATACCCACAGATCAGAGACAAAGTTTGATATTAACTAGTAAAGGTCTAACAGCACCAAAGAACACATATAAAACCTAGAAGAACTGGAAGCCCCCTTGGCTCCCAAGCCAGGGAGAGGGGAGGGCCAAAGGCTTTAGCCATGCTCCCCCAACATCTGCAACCAGCCCAGCACTGACCACTAAGCCATGGCAGGAAGCGCCCCAATCTCCCAAGCCAGGGTGATGGGGGGCCGACATCCTCAGTCACATCCCACCCACCCCCTGATATCAGCATCCAGCCCAGCAACAACTGAGCCACCACTGGAAGCCCCCTGGCTCCCCCTGCAGAATGAGGGGGGTGCCACAGGTCTCGATCACGCTGCCCCTCTTCCTCCTCTTCCCACCCTATTTCCTTCCCCCTTCCCCTATCCCCCTCCCCCGCAACTGCTCTGCAACAACATCTTAGAATGAGGCATGGAGAAGGGAGAAGCCAAACCCAGCTGCAACTATGTGAGCTGCCACCACCACCCCGGGGCCCAGCCAGGCGCCTGATGCATGGAGCTGGGAGAAGCTGAACCCAGCCACAACCAGGTAAAGAATATACCAAAAACACGATTTCCACGTGGGTAGCCCACCATAGCCACCACAATTGCCGTGGCTGCTACAAAAGCATCTAATCTCTATAGCAACAGTCACAGCCACTGTGCAGATGGCACACCAGACTCTCAACTGCATTTACCCAAGGAGAGACACCAGTGGAGACCAAAAAAACAAAACAAAAAAGAGAAGAGGTCCTCTCTCTCCATAAAGCACACACCAGAGTAATAGAAGAAGCATCTGATTTATGATAATAGGGGAGGACTTGATCACACCTGTCTCAGTACTGGACAGATCATCCAGGCAACAAACCAACAGAGGAATGGTTAATCTATCAGATGGAGAGAACCAACCTATAGTTGTTAGAGGGGGTAGGGGAGGGAAGGAGAAAGGTTGGATAAAGGGCTTAAAGAATAAATATGATTTGTAACAATTAATATGCTAATAAAACATAAATTTAAAAAATAAAGAAATGCCGAGCCAATGGCATCTGCCAAAAAGTAACAGTAATGTTTTGCCTACTTTTT